GGGTATTAATAAAAAGTATTTTATAATAATAATAAATATTTTATAATAATAATAATAATAAATGTTTTATAATAATAATAAATGTTTTATAATAATAATAAATATTTTATAATAATAATAATGAATATTTTATAATAATAATAATAAATGTTTTATAATAATAATAAATGTTTTATAATAATAATAATAAATGTTTTATAATAATAATAATAAATGTTTTATAATAATAATAATAAATATTTTATAATAATAATAATAAATGTTTTATAATAATAATAATAATAAATATTTTATAATAATAATAAGAAGAAATAAGAAATTTTTATTTTATGGCCTCCTTTTTCTTCTCTTACAAGCCAACACTAGGGCAAATATACATTAAACAATTAAATATGAGCCATTATCACTGTAACTAATGGTTTATTTATGAAATGATACAGAAAATCTTCTAGAAATTATCATTATTACATATTTTTTATACCTGAAAATGTGTATTATAGCTTGAAGTGTGTACTGGCTGTAAAACATAGTACATGCAAGTAATTTTGTACAATGAAGACTGCATTCTAGAATTACTCTAAAGAATGTTATTGGAAGTTTATCAGTCCATAGTGTGAGATTCATCGATCACCAAGATCAAATTAATGCATTATCTTTATTTTACATTTAAAATAAAGTTAAATATTTCTTGTGTATCACTAAACATTTTTTTCTTTTAACACGTTGCGGATGGGTCACGTGTTTACTCGTATTTCGTGCAGAGCGTCTTTATGTGCCATTTATTAAAACATTGCGTTAGAAAGGAGTCGGATGCATTTTATTTTGTTCCGCACAGTTATTATTTTTCTGATTTTTGCTTACACTACCCATATTTTTATAAATGGCTTCTCACAGAAAGCATAAATGTGTTGAGTGAAGATGAGATAATTACTGAACTATTTGATGATAATTTGTCAGATCTTCCAAGTGAAGGTGAAGATTCTGATGTGGATGTGTATCATTCTGACAGCGACTCTAGCTACAGTGATGTTGTTAGACCTACAGAGATACATAAAGTTGTTGTGCTCTCAACTGATTCTGAATCAGAAAGTGATGATCATACTACAAATGTTCTTGTTAGTGATTTGTTTTCCCATTGTGATAATGATAATTGGTCAGAAATAGATATTCTACCAAACTTGGAAATGTTTGAAGGAAATCCAGGGATCACTATAACTCCATCCAAACCCAAAAGTAGTTCAGCCGTGACAAGTCTAATGTTTGGTGATAACTTATTTGAAATGTTTTGTCAGAAAATGGTACCTACCATAATCAAACTGCAGAGAAACGTAAAATGTTATCTAAAGGACTTAAATGGTCTGAAATTACACCTACAGATATGAGGAAATTCCTAGGCTTTTTTCTACTAATGGGACAGACAAGGAAATATAATTGAAAATATTATTGATCAACAGTTCCTCTTTTGATTGGACCATTATTTTTGCAGACAATGAGCTGAAACAAATTTGAACAACTTTGGACATTTTGGCATTTCATTGATAATCATAAAATGGATGAGTCTTCAGGCAGGCTCTTCAAACTCAACCCGATTATTTCCTCAGTAAATTCAAGACACTATACAAGCCAAAGCAACAGTTGTCATTGGATGAGGACATGAGTCCATGGAGAGGACATCTAAGCTTTCGATCATATAACCCTGCTAAAATTGTAAAATATGGCCTGCTGGTGAGAAGGTGTCTGAGAATGACACTGATTATATTTGCAACATGGAGATTTATACTTGAAGATAGCTTTTATATGCGGAAACATCTGTTAGCTGAGTTCTTGCACAGATCTTAAAATATAACGTTGATAAACAGAAACATCGGCACATGTAGATATGTAGATCTTGAAAGTCGAGTTGTTCAAACCAACAATTGGTTCAGTTATCAATGCTATTTTCAAGTTTTGAACAACTGAATTTCAAGA